CCAAAACCTTAATATATAAGATTTCACATTGTTTCTATTCAGTCTGATTATATTATTAAACTATCAACCGTTAGCTGTCAAAGTGACCTTAACGCGGGAGGGGGGGGGGGTGGAGTCGGGGGGGGAAGGGCATTGTTAGTAATGTGAACTGATGATCATACTAGCAATATACTGTTGTCTGTTGTCATCGTGATAAATTCTTCGTGAATTTGTCACGATGGGCTAACTGGCCTGACCTCATACTCATCTTATCATCCTCCACTGGTGCCCCGCTAACGTAAACCGTAAGTAGTAAGCGCAGGAGGCTGCACCATTCCATAATCACCCATAAAAAAATGTACTGTTGTAATATTTATGAGGGTAAATAAAATGTCATATATATGTGGGTGCATAAATAATAAATTCAGTCGAACTTGCATTTTAGTCACAACATGTACCATGTCAAGTTGACCTCCATGTGGTTCCCCCTGGAAACCATTGTGACAAATTCTGACTGACCTGACTTCATGATGATTTTATCATCCTCCATTGGTACCCCGCCAGCGTAAACCATTAGTGCAGGCGGGTACTCCATTCCATTAACATCCATAAAAAAATGACATTAACGCTCCATCTGTGAGACCAATTACAGGACTTCTCACGGAAGGGGTTTTGGGCCCATTGTTAGGGCCCACAGATGGGGCTGGATGGATAGTGTTAGAGTCCAATAATTGGCTCCTTCGCAGATGAGAGGTTAACTTTCGTAGCATCCCCTCCAATCGATCCCCCGTCTAATTGCAACGGGAATCGAGATTATGACGGCCTGAGCCAAGGTTCGAACCCCTAGAGGTGCCTGCAGACTAAAGTAGTACCCGTCAGGCGGGAGTTGTCCTTCAGCCGCTCCGTAAGTTCTTCCGTTGGTTTGGAGTGCTATCTGCACTCGCCTCCTATAGTCCGAATACTACTTATTAACTTACTAATACTTAATACTACTAGTGATCACACATCTTCTCTGCCCCTTGTGACCATAGATTTAACAAATACACCAAGCTCCTATAGTCCTAATAAAGTACCTATTAATAGTAGTAAAAAGTTGAAAAAATATGTAAAATTATATAAATTTATTAGAAAATCAGAAAATTTTGTGAAAAGTCATAAAAAATGTTTAAAATCAATTATAACTAGAAAGCAAAAAATTGACTTATCAAAAGAATTAAATAATTGTAAAGAAAAATTATATAATAAAGATTTAGAGATAGATGAATTGTCACAAAAAATTAAACTATTAGAGATCTCGTTGTCCGATTTATCTTTGAAATACGAATCAGCTAAGAACGAAATACATGAATATTCTGATCAATTGGATAATTTAATAAAATTAGGTTCTGAATGTTGGGCCGTAAAGGGGATGGACGAAAGGCGTGTGCATGTGGCAGAAATGCGAATATTAAGAGGGATGTGTAGGGTTGCCAGGAATGACAGAATAAAGAATATGTATATGCGAGGAAGTTTGAAAGTTGCGCCGGTTATAGAAAAGTTGCGAGGTAACAGATTGAGCTGGTATGGGCATGTTATGCGGAGGAATGAGGACCATGTCTTATGGAAAATGTATAATATGAATGTGGATGGATGTAAAGGGAGGGGACGCCCTAAGAAAAGATGGATTGTGTTAAAGATGATATGAATAAAAGAAGAGTATGTTTAGATATGACGACCGATAGAGAGCAGTGGAAGAGAATGACATACTGCGCCGACCCCAAATAATGGGATAAAGACAAGGCAATGATGAACTACAACATGGAGCGTTTTGCTTCTTAGTAGTATTATAATCTTCTGTAATAAAATGATAAGAATAAATATCGATCAGTCACTATCAATCACTGCTTACACCTGACAATAATAATCATTATTATCTGGACCTGGACATTTGAACCTGGACAACAGTGCCATCTAGTCCCAAGCTAAGCAGAGCTTATATCATTGGTACTAGATAAGTGACACAAATACTTACATTATTTTTTTAAATAGATACATAAAAAACGCTAAGACCGATACTAACAATCATACTCTTGAATAGAAATGTTTGTATTGTACCATGAATCAAACCCGCGACGATTTAAATAAGACGGTGTACCAAACCGCTAGACCAACGAGGCCATCTCACAATACTGTTAAAATTTTTGTTGGTATATACATCTGTATCGTTCCACTCAATATTTATCAAATACTTTGTTTGTACTAATTTCATGTATTAACAAATAAACATTTTCCTAATAATTATGAAGGTAAATACTGGAATTTATTCCTTTTTCGTGATTGTATGTAAGCAACGTACTAAAATATGTAAATTTGACCTATAAACGCGTCCAAATACGCCTAATTGCTGAATAAATACTTTCCTCCAATCTTTCCCGAATTAGAAACCCACTTAGTAGGGGACCTTTAATAGCTACCTAATTTTCAAACAGGAAGATGTAAAGATATTTATAAAATTAACTGTACCGACAAACGTTGTTTTACCTTAAAATAAAAATAAAATTAGGGGTTGACTACCCCTAACATTTAGGGGGATGAAAAATAGATGTTGGCCGATTCTCAGACCTACTCAATACGCTCACAAAATTTCATGAGAATCGGTCAAGCCGTTTCGGAGGAGTATGGGAACGAAAACTGTGACACGAGAATTTTATATATAAGATGTATTGATTAATGATTTAACAGTTGTTTTGAGTATATTTAAGGATTACCCATAATTATACTCAAAACAACTATTAAATCATATTTACTGAGCAAAGCCTATTACTCACTAAACGATTACTTGAATGACGAGCGTGCATGGCAATAGTTGTTCCTGCACGGGATTTTCATTTAATGTTAGACATAGACACCTATATAAATATACATTGTAAATAAACTGACTTTTAAAATAAAGCAATTCGATTAAGTTTCTTGCTAGTTTTTCTCAATTGGATCTATATACTGAACTGGACGGTAGGGAAAAAAATATAATATAAATAATTTGAAAAAAGTGAGAATTGAGTGCTTGGGAGTTTTGAAATACTAATTTTTTGTCACGTCAACGTCCTCTGTCGAGTCTATGAACTTCTAGGGGTACATAAAATACATACATACATACATAAAAATTGTGAATAAATATAGTAACGATAACAAAGGTCAATTTACACAATGCTATGTGGAGCTATGTAGAGTTTGGGTACTAAACAACTGATATCAATGCTTAAATTAATTTGTGAATACATAAAATACATAGAAAACATCCAGACCTATATACTAATCAATATAATTGTTTATACGGTGCGAAGAATCGAACCCTCGACCATCGTAAGTAGAGCTCAACCACCGAGGTTGTGAGATATTATACATATATGACGTATCTGCACACTTTCATAAATTTCAGCAATTATTATGGTTAAAGTTAATAACAATATATATTCTCGTCTATCACAAATGTTTAATCAGATTCTCATGTCAAACTCATGTACATACCAATATATATATATATATCGAATTGCATTAGGGTCGCTTGAGTATATAAAGCTGACAAACAAACTCAATTGAGTGAGTATATTTAGATGATATTGATTAAATAATTCGTCAAAATCAGTTTTTTTTAAAGAACCTACAATTGAACTATTGCTTCCTGTACCAACAAATAAGAAAACCATTTTGCAAATTCTACAATTGCTTCATTCTCTAAATTACATTGCTTATAAATACTTAATCAATCAAATCTAAATATACATATTTGTCTATGTAGGTCTATCGAGACATTATTATTATAAAAAGTCAAATATCCTCTACTTGGAACGTAGATAGAGCTGAAAAGAATTGACATAAAAACATCTTTTACTCTTTTAAAATGAGAATAAATCTATTTATAATAATAAATAATAAAACGTAAGTGTAAGGTGAATAGAGTGATTACCAGTATAAGCTATTAAATTAAAGTCACTAAACAAACAATAATTAATATGCAGCCATAACTAAAACAAAAAACTTCATTTAGCGCCATCTAGCGGCAAGTAGTTGTTTGCTCATTAGCCATGCTTTTTAATTTGTTCTGTAATACTCGTCACCTTGTTTTCTTAATAACATAAATATTTACATAAAATTAGTAGCTGTGTAAATATATGTTTAGGTTCAATGAAAAGCAAATCAATTACTTTTTATTTATTAATACAGATGTAACATTTATAATAATCTACTTTCATTATAATATCATTAGCTTTGGCAAAAACAGCAGTCATTAAAAATATCATTACAGTTATTTATCACATTACATAGGTAAATATTCGAACATATAAAAATTATAAACTATTATAGTAATCATTACATAGTACAAATCAAAGTCGCTGTCGCTGTCTGTCCGTCCCTACATAGGGAAATCTTTAATACTACCCAACGGATTTTAATGCGGTTTTTTTTTAATAGATAGAGTGATTCAAGCGGAAGGTTTACATGTATAATACCTGTACACCCGTCCGAAGCCGGAGCGAGTAGCTAGTATAGTATAAATCAAAATCGCTGTCGCTGTCTGTCCGTTCCTATGTATGCTTAAATCTTTAAAACTAATTCTACTACGGATTTTATACTTACTTACTACGGATTTTGAAGCGGTTTTTTTAATAGATAGAGTGATTCAAGAGGAAGGTTTATATGTATAATAAATGTACGAGTGTACATGTATTATACATATAAACCTTGTGCGAAGCCGGGGCGAGTAACTAGTGAATTATATGTCTTACATCGCATTCCTTATTAAATTCTCTCATTATTATAGTGACGTTTGACTACAATCATGGCTTCATCGACTACAATTCCTTTCATTTATTTTACAATAAAAAAAATATATTTAATACGTCTTATAGTTAACACTATTAACTGCCACAGTAAATTAAGTCTTTAAATAATAAACATAGAATCTATTATCAATAAATTCGGCAATTTTTGTTTTGAAAAAATGTCTTTTATTACAAAACAAAGAGAATTATTTTCTTTTTTTATCCTAAAACATCAACACTTTTGTATACTGCAGTCGTTTTTGTCACTTCAGTCGTATTTTCCGCATCTGTGTACATTGAAATTGTACTTTCAGTTGTACTATCCGAAGCTTCATTTTTGAGTGTCTCATTATCTATTAGTATATCTTCTTTATCGTCATCAAGCATTTCTCTCTCTCTCTCTGTATCAAGTTCTAATCTCGTTCTATCTCCAGGATTATGTACGTTTAATTTTTCAATAAATTCTTCTATATCCTCTTTGGAGACCATAGAGCTATTGTCGACAGTATCAAAACCAACCAGTCGTTCCTTGAGGAAGTTGCCACCGAAATTTTCGAAGATCAACTGATCGTTTTCAATGTTATCCTCGCAACACCGACGGAAGAAGAGATTCACAACTGGACGGTCTTGTATACAACTTAAAACCACAAATAGCACCAAAGTTACCAGAACACAAAACGTCAATATCCGCCACCACATTTTATTAACATACCAATATATTTAACTGTTGTATAAAACGGTTAGTTCAATTTTAAACTGTTATTGGTCGCGAGCGTTCAAATGGCCCGATGATATGGAACTAACGAGAACGTAATAAGGAAAACGCAATAAAAAATCCTATCGACGTAGCCTCCTAATGAGTCTCTGATTGTTTTGTCAGGCTTTGACGGTTCAAATTGACTGGCGATTTTTTATCGCGAGTTTAATTGGTTTAAAGATAAGTGAGTGCAGTTAAACTCGCTGTGTATATTTTTGTCAATAGATCTTTTATGGGAATGGGTAAAAAATTTACATTAAGGTTGGTTAATCTTTGGTATAAATATTAATTTATGTAATTGTTATTTCCTTTCTGTGAGAGGAACAATAGGGTTTTCATTTTTCATTCATTATGATATCAAAGGCTATACTTGAATTACCTTTCAATAAATTTAAAATTTAATTAGAGAATCTTTGTCCAGCAGTGGACTTATTCCGGGCTGAAATGATGATGATGATGATAAATTTAAAACATCAGTTAAATCATATTTGTTTAGTAAAGCCTATTACTCAGTAAAAGATTATTTAAATGACAAACGTGTATGGCAATAGTAGTTCATACATGGGATCTTTTATCGCAAGGTTAATTGTTTTAACAATAAATAAGTGTAGTTTAATTAAAACTTAAAACTTTGTAGAATTACTGCCTATTACTAAACGATCACTTAAATGCCAAACGTACATGGCAATAATTAACATTTTCATTTAATGTTAGGCATAGACACCTATACAATATGAATACACATAATGTAAATATTCTGGCTTTAAAAAAAATAACAAGAACTTCAGTTGACTTGCCAGTTTTTCTCATTTGAAACTGTATACTGAACTGGATGGTAGGGAAAAATATAACTACAAAAACTTACGTTCATGAGCGGCTACAATGTCCTACATAAATAAATTAGTTTTGATTTTTAATGGATGATAATGGAATGGTGCACCCGCCTGCGCTAATGGTCTACGCTGGTGGAGCACCAGTTGAGGATGAGATATGATAAGATGTGCATGAGTTCTGGTCATGCTCATCGTGACAAATTCACCTGGTTTTTTTTTAATTTGGTTATGATTTCCAGGTCGAGCCGCGTGGATATCAACCAAACATGGTACACTGCTAGTAATAGGGTCAACAGTACACATTGCTAACGAATTGCAAGCCGATGAGTATAATATGACGGCCTCGGTGGTCTAGCGGTCTAGCACACCGCTTAACGACCGATGGTCGCGGGTTCGATTCCTCGCACGGCACAAACATTTGTATTCATGAGTATGATTGTTTGTATCGGTCTGAGTATTTTCTATGTATAATATGTATACATATATTTACGAAAAAACAATTATCTATGTATTTGTATCAGTTATCTAGTACCCATAACAAAAGCTTTAGTTAGCTTAACTTGGATCTAGATGGCACTGTGTGAATTGTCCTGAGATTATTATTATTATAATAGAAACACAATACTTTAAGCACAAGATTAAAAAGCACAAACGCAGAGACAAACAGAGAATCAACAACAGCAACAATCATCAATTGACCAACAGACAAAAATTCTAACATGGCTGAAACTATGAATTTTGGATTATATTAAATTGATAAAATCTACCAATAATATTTTTTCTTCTAATTATGTTCAATTGACGGCTTCGATGGTCTAGTGGTTTAGCACACCGCTTTACTTCCGATAGTCGCGGGTTCGATTCCTCGTACGGCACAAACATTTGTATTCATGAGTATGATTGTTTGTATCGGTCTGGGTATTTTCTATGTATACTATGTATGTATTTACGAAAAAAAAATGTATTTGTTATATAGACCCATAACATAAGCTTTAGCTTGCTTAACTTGGGTCTAGATGGCGCTGTGTGAATTGTCCTGGAATCTATATTTTTGTTGTATATTATATTACTTAATATATACAACCCATAATCTAGTGGTTCCTATACCAGCTTATACCGAAGGAAATAAAAAATCTAGGCATGCTATTTTTTTTTTTAATTTATAACCTGACACTTTCCCCGCTGATAGAAACATCAGTAACAAACCAAATTAGCCCGAGAGACGGCGGTACGCGTCCCCCATCATCCCCATCCCACGTTCAATACATACACCGAACAAAATATAACTCATTTGATTCCCTTATATACAATAATTAAAGAAATTTTAACCCTCCTATAAAATTGTTTCGCCAAAGTCGCCGCTAGATGGAGCTGTACGATATTTAAAACTCGATATGTTTTCGTTTTGCACAAACCATGAATTCGTAAAGGAAAACTGAGTCGTCGTGTTACGTTCACCACATACAGTCCATACGGACGTGTAGACAAACAATTTTTTTACCCGTCAGTACTTTTGTTAGTATTTAGTCGGGCATCTAATTCAATGTAAAGTCCATTTTATTTCTAGTTTCGAATTATTGAACTGACTGGTCTAATAATGCCAAATTTCACGGGTAGTTACTGAATACAGTACATTAATATTATTATAAACAAATATACCTTTGAACAAATATAAATATAATATTATATTAAATATTATTATAAACATTTAAATTACTTTCATTTTCAATTTCAAATACTTTCAATAAATTTAATTCAATCTCAATAATGTTAAAAACCCGAAAGTTTGTAAGTATGGATGTTTGTTACTCTCACGCAAAAACTGTTGAACGGATTTTGATGAAACTTTACAGTAACATATGTAGCTTATATATCAGAATAACATATAGGCTATAAATTTCACGCGAGTGAAACCGCGGGGTACAGCTAGTGCATATCTAAAATAATATAATGGATTTTGTAAAACTAGATTAATATATATATATATATATATATATATATATATATATATATATATTTTATATAACTTTAATGCACAAAATATATTCGATATATATGACTGTAAAACACACTGTTCACATAGGACATACAATAAACGTGAGTGGAGCAATTTCAGTGCCTTTATGGATGTAAGAAAATGATTATTTTATGTTTATTTTTAATTATCTACATGGTCAATTAAGTTTTTTATATTGTAATATTGTTGAAAAACAATGAATAAAAATATTTTTTTCTTTCTTTAAAATTTCATCAAAATCCGTTCAGTAGTTTTTGCGTGAAAGAGTAACAAACATCCTCCATACTCACAAACCTTCACGTTCATAACATTAATAAGATATTCATACTTCAAACATCTATAAAAAAGCATTATAAGATATTGAGATCTATTCGTCAATAACATAACTTAAACAAAATAGCAAAATTTTGGTCAACCCCTGACAATTTTTTCACATTTCTCTTTTCCTGCTCGGCTCCATGTGATGCAATTTCATTTAAATCGATCCAGACAGACAGACAAAGATACTTTCGCATAAGTAAGGATATAGTGTTGTACTCCATTGCACAGAGTATCGTCTGCCCGAGATACTCGTAATACTAGTATCTGTAAACCGAAACATACGCAATACTATTCCACGTCAGACATACCGACCGATACAACCATATTAGTTCCTATACAGACGAGATACACTTTTATATAAGCAAATTATATATTAATAATCGCTATAATACACTAGCTGTGCCTGCGGTTTCATCCGCGTTAAATATCAATATAAAACATAGCCTGTGTTATTCTGATGCCTAAACTATATTACTGTGAAGTTTCATGAAAATCCATTTAGTATTTTTTGCGTGAAAGAGTACCAAACATCCATACTTACAAACTTTCGCATTTATAATATCTAGCTTTTACCCGCGGCTTCGCTCGCGTTAATTTATCCCCTTAGGGGAGGAATTTATCAAAATCCTTTCTTAGGGGGTGCCTACGTCATAGTAGCTTTATGCATGCAAAGTCTCAGCCCGATCGGTTTTTTTTTATTAATTTTATTTGTTTCTCTACTGTTTTTATTCTTGAGGGTAGGCAACGCGCACGTGACACCCCTGGTGTTTTAGGCATCCATAGGCTACAGAAACCATTTACCATCAGTTCAGGTGGCAAACAAGCATACGGTCCGTATGCTTGTTCGGTGTACTACCCGGACTTGGTGTCTACTGAGGAGAATTTTAGGAGGCTGCGGGAGTTCGCGCATCAGTGGCACCGGAGGCGGAGCGAGTACGAGAGGAATTTGGCGGTACGCGTTCAAGAAGGAAGGACACCGCTGAAGACGGAATGCCCGGCACCGAAGCCGTCTATGTTTCGTTGCCCCAGAAGGGGGAGAGTGCGATAGAGGGGACAGGAGTAGAAATAATTTGTAGGGGTCAAGAGAGTCCCCGCAGATTCGGCCAGTATAACCGAGAGGTTGGAATGGCCATGGGTTGGTGGAGGGTCCGTATGCTTGTTTACCACCATATTTGCCAATATAAAAAGAAAATAATTTGTAGTACAAATTGTAAAGGATTTGTATTTTCCCGCCATAAATCACTTGAGAATGTCAAATTTAAAATTCGAATGATCTGTGTTCTTTTTTTATAGACTTCGTCCGCGTGGAATTTAACTTTATTTTTCCAAAATGGTTATGTTCATTTTTAATCAAATTACTCTTTATTATATCAGCTACCTGCCAAAAAAAGTCCCGTCAAAATCGGTCCAGCCATTTCAGAGATTAGTCGGAACAAACAGACAAAAATTGTAAAAAATGTTATTTTGGTATGTATATTATGTACCGTATATGGATATTCATATATGTAGTACAAAAAGGGTTATTTCAATATTACAAACAGACACTCCAATTTTATTTATATGTATAGATGTAGCAAAGTGGTTGCGTAAACTTATAAGTAACAACACCTAACGTCTTAGATAGAGTGCAAAAGATTTAAGTATCACTACCACAATAACAAAAACAAAAATACTCAACAGCAACTTTTAGTCGCCCATCTACAATACCTATGCCCAACAATGCACTGCAAATAGTTTAAGTATATTATAAATTATCACAATTTTAAAAATACTCAACATCAACTTTTAGTCGCCCATCTACAACACCTAAGCCCAACAATGCACAGCAAATGGTTTAAGTATATTATGAAT